GCTACCCTGGGGTTTTTAAAGTGCATCACGTAGTAGTGATTACACGAACGCGTGCCGGTACGAGACTTTAGTCCAGATCGAAACGGGCGGGGGCAGTGGGGATCGAACCCAGGTTCCCAGCGCAAGTTTTTCGCTCCACGCTCCGAGCTGAGACGCGGGTGCTATATTTATACAATGCTACAGTCGAATCCAAGTTTCAAGAACGGCGGGATGACGGTTGGAGTTTTCTTAGAAGCGTAGGGAGAGTTAGTGTTCGGATGGGCAGACGTTTGTACAATGCTACGTTCAAGTCCCAATTCCAAAAACGGCGGGGTGACGGTTGGAGTTTTTGTGAGAGGGAACCGTGAGGGCAGTTCGTATCCGGTTGGGAAGGCTTCACGGTCGGGTTCGCGTTTCAAAGACGGTGGGATGACTGTTGTAGTTTCTTGAGAGGGGATGCGCAGGGTGAGTTCGTGTCCGGGTGAGCAGGCGCGACCTGGATGATAGCGTATAATAAACAAGAGTTACACGCGCAAACCAAACAAAAGTGCTGTCAAAAAAAGGCTCGAGGTACACTTGAGCACTTCTTATGAGTTGTGAATGCGAAAGCGTGCACGCCGCTCTCCCTTCTTTGGTGTGCGGCATACTTGCGTCGACGGTCGTGGAGCGATGGAGCCGCTGCCTCGGGGACACGCAGCGCCATGGGGTGGCGGTCATTGAAACTGACGCGCAGCGGCCAATGGGAGCCTCAGCGACGAGCGCCAGTCAATGGCACCGAAGCCGCAATCCACCAACTCTACTCCGCTCCTTTGAGATTGGAAAAACTAGGTGCCGTTTAGGCTAGGCTTTTCGCGTGGTTTGATAGCTGGGAGCTGGCTTCTTTTGGAGAAAGAATTTAAGGTGCCGTTTGGCGCGGCTTCAAAGCTGTTGACGTCACCTCGCTTCATGGGGCAGCTAATGCTTTCGCATTCAAAACTTTCAGCCTTTCCACTTTGGTGAAGAAAGAGGACCAGTGAAGCTGTACTGTGGTGGGGATGAAGTAATGGCCGGCCGCAAGTCGGCAAGCCAGAGTGGAAAGGCTGGAGAGGTTACCGCCATCTATGAGCGACGGCGGTGGTTGCTGCCGTCGCTCATAGATGGCGGTAGGTGTCCAGAGTTTAGTGTCATCATTTGTTTGCTGACATACACGGGGAAACTAACCCTTGACAATTCCGCCGTAAAAAAAAGGAAGAAACACGGGAATTTGGGATGCTTTGTGGGGCGTGCATGAGTCAGAGACCTGGAAGGGAACAATGTTAAACCCAGAAATAAAAGGAAAAAAAATTAATATCAAAACCTGGAAATAAGAGATAAAACCTGGAAATCAAGTTCCTGAAGAGCAAGAACGGTTGTGCCATGGGGCAGATGGACGACCCCGCTGGCCGTTGAGAGAGCGGTGGGACACCAGAACAACGCTCAGTTCTCCGGCACCGGGATGCAGCTCGGGAACTCGAACCAGGCGTTCCTAAACGACGCGCAGCTGCCCTTCGAGTTCCCGAGCTGCATCTTGGTGCCGGAGAACTCCGCATTGCTCTGGTGTCCCAACGCTTTCTGCACGGCCAGGGGGGGTCGTCCCTCTACACCATGGCACAGCCGTTCTTGCTCTTCAGGAACTTGATCCTCATGACGGTGCCGTACAACCAGAGCAGGATGAAGAGCTTCTCGACGTTCATCCTCTCAGAGCTGAGGCTGTACACCACCAGCACGGTCCCCTAGCTGTTGCGCCTGCAGGGACGAGTTGGCACACCCGGGGCTGTAGCTGGTATCGTCGCGCTCCGGTGGACCACCGTAGCGGTCTTGGGGTCCGTAAGAGGGAGCGGGGGAGGGGGGGGGGAAGGGGGGGGGGGCACCTCTTAGTCGTTATTGTATAGCCTCTACCGGGGCTGCTGAGCTGGCTGCCTCAGGGCCCGCCGTGGTTGTAGTCGTTGCGTTCGGCGACGTAGCCTGGGCCGGCAGAGGGCGTCTTCGGCCATCCCGTGCGTTGCTGTAGCTCCCGAGAAACCACGTGGCTTATCAAAGATGGCGGAAGAACCTCTGGCATCTGCGGTGGTGGTAGCAGGGAATCTTGAAAAGCAGAAAAGAACGAAAAAGAAAACTATCAGCTGTTTTCTGCAGGGACTTCTTCTACGAGAAAGCGTCTTTTACGAGGGCGCGGCAATAGACTGGTTCAATTTGCGAGTCCCCTCTCGGTGTCTACCGCACAGAACCATGCGCAAAATCAGTAGAGTGTGAAAATGTATTAGTTCTTGCCAAAGTCTATTGCAATGCGCATCTTCTTCTAAGTCTTCGTCTTCACCACCAACATCAGCAAGACTCCTCGCAGAATCAAGTTTGTTTTTGGAATCAGCCGGACTGACATCACTCTCCACCTACGAGAGAAGTTCGTCATCCGATTCATAATACCGTTTGAGATTAATGACATGAACGGGTCCAGCGGGTCGTCCAGACTCGCAATGGACGAGCTTGCACGTGAGACGTGAGCCATTCTCTCGTACTCGATACGGAGCATCACCTGTTCGCCAGGGAAGCTGTGAAAACTCTGGAGGCGTTACTAAGTGGGTGTGCCCGTCGGAGTACGAGTTCTCCAACTTCAAATTGCACATCCCGGTGGCCGCGATTGTACTGCTCAGCCTGCTGCAGCCGTGCGACGCCCAAGCTTTCCCGGGCATCACGAACGATTTCCCTGAGTCTGCGTCGTATAGCTTCCTGCAAACTGACTGTATGAACGAGCGGCGCCAGGATTGTTGGTCGTTGTCATCGTCAATCGGGAAAAGAGAGAAACGACATTCATGAGAGGATCAACAAAAGAAATGATATATTTACAAGAAGGAGGATAGGAACGTGTCAGAAGTGATACAAGAGGAAAAGAATTAGCAATAAGAAAAAGCAAAACACTGAAGGCAGTTAAAGTCACGTCAACACACTCATAGCCCGTTCCCGCTACCGTCCTTGCCTAAAGTTCAAGTCTTTCCCCTCGGTGCCTTGCGGAGCGTCGCCGCTTGATGTGATGATGCGAAAGCCGGTGTCTCGTACTCCCCCTGGAGTTGCTCGAAGCAGGCGTCGCCGTCCGTAGCGGCTGGTCCTCCCTCCGAGCTCTGGTCGTCACCGTGCGTCGCGGCCCGACCCTGGCTTTCACCGCTGCTTCTCCTCTCGCGCCCGCCGTACTCCTCTCGCGCTCGCCGTTCTCTTCTCGCGCTCATCGTTCTCTGGAACGCGCTCGTTCCCTTCCGCTTCTTTTCTTCTTCCACCCGTAATAATCGTCACAGGCACGTGACAGTCGTGCAAGTGTTTCCTAGCGGGAAAGTCAGCTCTTTTCCGACTTTAAGGCACGTGGGCGTAAAACCAGGGGGGCTATGTTGCGCTTTTTGCACTCCCAGGAGACTAGGGAGAGGGAAGTGACGTCAACGACACAGCAAACGCAGATTGGGTCTTGATTTCGTTTTCTTCTGTCAACATCCAATCTGCGTTTGCTGTGTCGTTGACGTCACTTCCCTCTTCCAAGTCTCCTGGGAGTGCAAAAAGCGCAACATAGCACCCCAGTAGATCGGTTGACGGTTGTGCGTGTTGCGAACGCAAGCTCTGGAAGTTTTGCGTCCCAGTCATGGAGATGTTCGGTGTGACCGATCAACATCGATTTTAGGTCCAGGTTCAGGCTTACCTGCTCTGTGATATTTGCCTGAGGGTGATAGCAAGACGTCCGCCTGTGTTTTATGCCCAGTGAGGCACAGGAGTCTCAAAACATTCTTCTGGCAAAATTAGTAGCATTGTCGCTGATCAATCTGACCGGCAGACCAAAGCACGTGAACGACTCCATTACGCAAGACCACATTTTCTGGTACATCAGCCATCGCATTGCAAATAGCTCCACGTGCACTTGCTAAAGTGATCCGTGACAACCAACAAGTAACTGGCTGCCATACGGACTGCGTGTAAAAGGGTCCATGACGTTGAGAGCGACGCATTCCCATGGGGATCGACTCACGACTGGCTGCATGAGACCAGTGGCCCGTAGGTTGACCCCCAGAGGGCTTCGGGCTTTCTGACAGACCGGACATGAGAGAGCGTACTTCAGCACGTCCTGCCGAATGCCTGACCAAGTAGCGGTACGACTTAACTTTTCAAAAGTAAAGCAAAAAAATAAGCCATTGCAGCGTAAGCCGCCAAACACCAGAACATCGGCTCAGTAAAGGCTACAGCGATTACCTGAGCCCCTTTCTCCGAACAAGCTGTGAGCGCGAATACCACAGCGCCTATCCACTATCCCTTCCAATCGGAGCAGGGCGCTCAGACGTCATTGCACCTTCTCATCTCCTCCTCTCCTTCACTTTCTCTCCATACTAAAAAAAAAAGCCATCTGATTTATTTATTAATTAAGAAAACACAGATACATAAAAATACAAAAAAGAACGAAACCCCTGCTTCATAGAAATATTATCGTGAACATACCAAAAAAGTTCGAACCAACGAAAATAAAAAAATAAAAAACAACGATAAAATGATTGTGTTTGTCCTCCACGTTTGTCTCCATTCTCTCGTGGTCTTTTTTTTTTTTTTTTAAATATGATTGCACGTTAGTTTGCTTGCACAAGGACTCTCATTTCAATGACAGTGAAATCTGCAAATGCCTGACTCACGCTTTTTCTTTACTAGTTACAATAACAGTGAAGGGGCGCCGACGCAGGCATCGCTGCCGTACCCTTTTATAAGGTGTGCTTCCTGAACTTCTCGCGCTGCTTTTTGCTTTGAAGAGGAACCAGTACTTTTTTTTTTTTTTAATTTCGGGTTGCATTCGCAGCGACCACTTCGAAAGAAAAATAGTTCGAGAAATACGCGAAGCAGCCGAGCGTGAAGGACGGTGCACTGGCCCCATAAGCTCCTCTCCCCCTCGCTACGACCCTTCGCTCCTTGGACGGTGCAGTTTCTGCAATGCCAGACAGACCCTGTTTGTTCATTTAAATAGTGAGCGTAAATATGAACTGGCTGCCATTAAATAACAAAGAACTCGTTAATAGCTTGTGGTTCTTATGTCTTGGACTATAAGCCGGGGGACAGACATGGTCTCACAGAAGGAGAATACCTGAGTCTGCGTAACACCCCAGGGAACAACATCCTCCACAACATTCCTACCGAATTCAGTCTAGCCCATCCAAAACTATCGTCTAGTCGCAGCCACACATGCGAAACAAACAGTATACGCTAAATTAATTACTCATTTATTTCTCTTTACGCGCTTGAGAGATGCAAAGTTCGGGTTTTCGCGTTTTGGTGTACGACTGAATGTAGAAGTTGACAAAGAGCGTGAGGACCACAAACGCTTGCGGAAGGGCGAGCACTACGAGGAATCTGGGGAATCCGCAATCATACACCAGAGGAATACAGCCGTGCAGCGTAAGAAAGACGAGCTGGAAGATCTGCAGCCTGGTGAGGTACCGCTTCCACCACAAGTATTTTTGAATACTAGGTCCAAGCGCGGACAGGAAGTAATAGCCGTACATAATCACGTGCACGAGTGCGTTGAGGCACAGGATCATGATGAACTGACCGCCACCTCCGTAGCTGATGTACAACCAGCCGTTGAGTACGACCAGAAAGTGGTGAACGACGTGCAGGTACGTGATGTGGGAGAACTTCTTCGTAGCCACGAAGAAGAAAGTGTCCATGAAGTCGGCGATCCGCACAAAGAGGTACCACCAGGACACTCGCAGGAGTGCCATCTCATTCTCGTTGCGGGAATAGTCGATGCCCTGGCAGAACACACTGTAGTTTCCTCTGATATAGGCGAAACGCATGTACTGCACAAAGAAGAAAGCGTTCGCAGTCACCTGAAACAAGTTGTACGCCATGATGGTCCACTTGAGGTTGTAGGGCTTGCGGCTCGCCATCCATCGCGGACCCGCTATCTTCACCACGTAAAGGTAGCCGAGACACACTGGCAACATGAACCTCAGGTCCGCCGTGAGGCTCCAACCGGCGGTCCTTGGGTCCCTTAAAGACGCCAGGTAGGCGAACTTCTCACTCACTCCGGCGACTAAACTAGCTGCCATCGTCGATGCCATTGCGGTGCGCCGGCCTCGGGCTGGAGTAGTATTTGTCGACTTTCCAATCTGCCGGTCTCCCCGCTGGCTCTTGACGCGGCTTCTCTCCGGCCAGGAAATGATCGTTACCTGATCGCGCGTGCTTTTAAGCCACGTCCTTGGAAGCAATACAAGGGGTAGAGCCGCGTTGTCCTTGGCCGAACGGGCGATGACGGTAACCGCCTATGCAAGCGGATTGGAGAATACGTTAATCAGTGGGAAGGGGGGTGGGTAGGTGAGCGTGGAAAAATGGGCGCGTTCACTCTGCGCTCTTTTGCTCCTATTCCGACGGCCCGAGTTTCATACAGCCTGGCACAGAAACGCGCGACACGCCGAAACTATCGACAAGTCCCGCACCCATCTGCTGCGTTCCAAATTTGACTCGAGTAGATCAAAGTTTCTCCCATGGGTCACATCGCGTACAGCAGGAGTCTCCAAACCCCGACCCGTGGAGGCCTTTCGGCTGACCCATGGGTGACCGCGGTCTTTCCACCCCGATCCAAAAGCGCAAACAAAGAAATAAGAAAAAAAAAAAAAAGAGTGAAACTTCAGTCGAAACTTTCGCCAAATTAGTTATTGTACATTGTCATTATTAGCATCTCTCTTCGTACTCTCCAGTTTCAGGTCTGTATAACAGATAAAAAATTTTTGGCATTCTCTTGTATATCGTTCTTAGAGTATTGTGCCATGACTGTAACATGTCATCGTCAGGTCTCTTTTTAGTCTTCTGCTTTCTGTGAATATACCAAAGTTCACGAACTTTGATTTCTGCATGGTGAGTTTTCTGGTTCACAAACATTTGATAATGTCGTAATGAGCAACATACTGAATTAAAAAAAAAATAATAATAAAGTATATATATTGATCCACCTTTTTTTTTTATATTTCTAGTCTAGTCTAAATTTTATTCTTTAGGTACCTATTAATGATTACTTATTTAGTATTTCCTCATTTACGTTTACTTTTCTCTTCATTTTACGGTTCTCAAAACTGCGACAGATTCCCAAACCGACCCCTTAGCCAAAACGTTTGAGGACCCCTGCCGTATAAAGTAGGGGTGTCGCGAACCGGTCGAGGTTAGAGTTCGATCAAGTTAGACTTTTTCGAACCTCTTGTGAAAAGGTCGACAAAGGTCGGACTCAGGTTCGACTGCTATGCGGATGCGCGACAGACTGCCCAGTTGCCTTCGGATTGGATGCTGATGGCTAAGGGATAAATTAAGGGCAGCACTAAAGGAAAAAGTTATTAACTTCTTCCGTGATTAGAATTAGTTCCTTTTAATTGCGACTGTTATAAAATTAAAATAACCCTTTGCATAAAAAAAAAAAAAAAACTCCAAATCTAGACATGCTTGTATCAAGGTCTGGCACACTGTCCCATTGATCTCAATGACAATCGCTGGATCGCGCATCCCCGCTCCGCGAGTGCGGCCACCGGACGGCCATCTTGCATGCCGTTTTCTCTCGTTTTGCTAGAGTTTTGCTGCAATTTTCCAGCCTGCTATAACACGTTTTCTACTCGGAGTCGTTCGTCATCATTCGCCGAAGACGTTCTTTAAGATCCTGTGTGAGGAGTCATACTTGCCGTTGAGAACACGTGAACATTTTTACGAAGGCGCAGTGCCGCAGGAAAAAGGCACAACTCGTCGAAAGCAAATTTCGCCGGTCTCGCGGCGCGTTTAAAGCTTCCTTGGCACGCCTAAGTGCCGTGCATTTATGATGTTACTATCAGTTTGCTATGATGTTACTATCATGAGAGTAGTTTTAAGTATCCTCTCTAAAATGCCTACAAAGGACCTTGGAGAAAATGAATCAATAAAAAATCATGAGCCATTCCACTCTGTGAAGGTGGAGGATGACCAGCGAAGCTGTTTAGCGCACGACACAGACGTGGCACAGAATTTTGACCAAAGGTGCGAGCACATTTATTGTCTTGATCGGTGGTCATCGTGGCGAAAGGATACGCACAAACATTTATTATTGTCTTGATTGGTGGTTGTTATGTCTCTTGCCGCTGAATTTTTTTATGGGAGGTGTGACACAAAGCCGTGACGTCATTTTCCCCGCTAAATTTAGCGGGGAAACTGAACTGGAGTTGAGGGGTGGTATTGGTTGAGGTCGCCTCAATTTCCCCCCGGGAAAACCTTTCCGCTAAATTTTGTAGGAAAAGGTTTCCCGCAATATTTCCCCGCTAAATTTATAGTAGAAAAATTTTCCCGCTAAATTTCCCTGCTAAATTCAGCGGGGAAATTTCCCAGCGATATTTAGCAGAAACATTTTTCCACCAAAATTAGCGAAACAATTTCCCCGCTAAAGTTAGCGGAAAATCTTTTCCGCTAAATGTAGCGTGAAAATTTTTTCGATAAATTTTTGGGAAAATTTTTGGGGCAAATCTTCCCGCTAAATATAGCGGGAAGCGAAAAATATTTCTCTGTTAAATTTAGCGAGGAAATTGTACTACTTCAGCGGAAAGATTTTTCCCCACAGGAAAACTTTTCCGCTAAATTTAGTGGTGGAAATGTTTTCGATAAATTCGGCGGAGACAATAGAGTTTTTGTTCACGCACACGAAAAATCTACGGAACCCTAGCCATAAACAGCTTCGCCGTAATAACGTTTTCACGTCACTGGAGTTTGTTTTCGGTGCACCACATGTTCAGGAGGTGGAAGAAGTGCAGCCTCTAGCAACAAGTCTTCCAGTCTGGTTTGTCACATTTATTAACATTAGTGTGTGTGTGTGTGTGTGGGGGGGGGGGGGGGGGGGGGCAGAGATGCGAGTGTCCTCAAAAGCTCCACCGCATGCAGTGAACACAATTCTTGGTGTGTAGACTCTGAAGGCGTAAAGGCTGAAGTATGAATATGATGCATCAATGAGGTTTCTTTCCACTTGATTACATAATTATTGACTATTATTAAAGGGTTCCTTAACGAGTTCTTTCTACTACAGTCTCGTGTCAGGCGTTCAGTCGTAGTACCTGTGCTGTAATTGAATGACGCTCCTCGCACGTCGATGTTCAGTTTAACCGAGTGGCGACTTTGACTGACTGATGCCGTCTTTTGATCATACGTAATGTGCTGCCACTGACATCTGATACACTGAAGCTGCAGGGCTGGCTTCTAATCCGCAAATTTTTCTTGTAGTTTTCTCCGTCAATGTAGCCAGTTCGGGCATGTATTGCTTACGTGGCTGTGCCTTTTGCTGTACCGTTGACTTGATGACTGGCAACAATCTGTGTTTGCTATCCAAGCTACTTCACTTCCACTCCGCAATGAAGATTTCTTCTGCATGCCGTGACCACTGCAACTTGTGTAAATCGTGCGGCAAAGTGAAGTCGGGTGATCCTTGGTGTCCAGATTTTGAAAACAAGCAACAATTCCATTATTTCTTCAAGCCACTCAGCGGCATTGTCCCTCAAAGTTAGAAATCGTGGGTGTCGTGGATTGGGCACAGATAATTTCTGTCGGCAAGTTATTATTGCCCTAGGACGACGACCGACACCAAATCAACTGTCATCGCATTGCCGCTCACCTTCTTCGTCGTGCTTAGTATAGATATCGTGCTGACGTCCTGTCGAGGCGATAGGGATTAGGAGCTTCGGGTTAGTGTCGGCACAAGGGACAAAGACCGCCGAAGATACTACTCAATGTCTCGCGGTCGCTCCTCGAGACGTGGTCAAGGGTAGTTCGGCATGAACTCTCGCAACCACATCCATTGGTGCGGGCATCTCTGGTAGACATGGCAGCCTCACGTAGTGGTAGCAGAATGGTCGTCGGTCGGCCGTTCGCAACACTTCCGTCTTTCTCGGTGCACTTTGTTCAGTGCGGGCCTCTACTGGTTTTTCTCGACGTCGGGAATACTGCGGCGTTGGGGTGTTTCGTTAAAGTGGCATACTAATGGGCAGCCGGTGACGGTCGTCGTGCCATTGCACCCTAAGTCACCCTCGGTTCGTCGGATGTCGCTTCGCTCGCAGAAGTCTCCGGTTGAACTTCTTCCCGAGCAATCTCGGCATTCGAAATAAATGCATAGCGACTAATGGCAGAAAGTAGCTTCCTGATCTCCTCCCGGACAACATCATGTATGATTTCGCGGATGCCTGGGAGGCTGCGTCGAAGTTACAGCTGGACGAGTGGAGTGTCGAGACGCTGGGGAGTTGATAGTGATGGGCTCGGGCACGAAGTGCACGTTCAACGTTGGGAGCTTCGGGGATGAACTTTTCGACTGTTGTCGGAGGGTTGCGACCAGCAGCGACTGGTTGAGCGAGCCCGCCGAATCTGGGCAACCAACGGAGCCCTGGACTAAGGGCACCGACCAGAGGCCGCAAGGTCCTTTTACTTTATCGGTTAATAAAGTCTACGATGATGATTATGATGATTGCGGACAAAGGTGCCGAAGGTGCTGTCGCTCACATGAGGGACATGAGGATTACCAGCTTATTGTCTTCTGTAACATGAGGGTCGGCGCGGGCGCTTGATCAGTTGCAAAACATCCTCCAAGAAGGCGGTGATGCCCTCGTTGGGGCCATGACCGGGACAGACTTAAATATTCCGTTCTCTCTCGTCAATATTGGCTGACGAACGTGCACTTCAGCTCGATCTTGTAAACTTCACACGACACGGAGAAGGATACGTGGTTGTCAAACCAGTGCCTGGCCGTTTCTTCAACGACAAGTATAGGTTCTGCGGGTGCCGGTCGTCTGTCCACCCATTGTGGCGGGTGACACACACGGTCATAGTGTTCAATCCAGTCCTCGACGTCTTCATACACCTTGCCGTGAAAGGGCTTCGGAGTGCGAGGTGCGACGGGCATGCAAACAATGGTAGGAGTGGACGTGGTTTGCTGCTACGGGTTTGTCATCGTTGGCTAAGTCCGCTTCGGTTTCTCTGGAAGGAGACCGAATTCCGGTTGTTCTTCCTTAGCAGCGACTGGCTCGGATTTCAAGTTTTTCGTGGTGTATTCGTGGGGTTCGCTCTTGCGGGACTCGCT